TGCAGTTGGCTGCTACAGACATAACCTTTGAGCCAGCAGGTATGGCAAGTACTTTAGGAGTGCGCTGAATACAATCTGGTATCTTATTAGCAGCYGATGACTTGACAAGCTAGGCAAGAGTAAAATGAATACAGTTTGAGTACTACAAGTGTTTATCTTGACAGGAGAAATCAAAGAGCAAATAATACGAGCCAGGACAATGGACAATGGACAATGTAAACTAAAATCCTAACGAACTTCAAAATTTTGAGGTTTTTTGCTGTAAAGCTAATAGATATTTTGGCAGGTCAAACTCGGTTGCAGATAAAATCCATACAAAATGTAAACAGTGGATAACTTTTGCCTAAAACCATCGCATGCAACCTGCGTAAGTCGTGAGGCAATTGTTTGAAATCTCTACGACAGTTGTGCTTCGTCCCCAGTGCCCTGGTTGGTGACGTGACATATCGCACCATTTTTGAAGTCGTGAATAATAACATCCAAAATGATAAATAACTAACTCTGCAATCACTTATCATACGTATTTTCCCCACCTGTAGCTCATCTTTGCGTAGTATTCTAGTATCTTGAAGYAACTGTTGTACTTCTTCTACAGTATCACCTGTTTGGGCAGCCTGTTGGCTGGTACCACTTTTAAATGGGAATCTTACTATTGCATAAGCACCATCGACCTGCAAGAGCAATATAAATGCCATGAATTAAATTGAAGCACTGCTTATAGACCCCTTGCATGTGACGTTAGGGGTCTATTGATCGTTTTTCAACCATTCCCAAGATTCAAAAGATAAAAGACCGGCGGCCATGTCGGAGGAATGAACAACAGACCCTAATGAGAAATCCTTTGTTGAATTTCCTCCATGATGGCCGCTGTGACGTAACTTGAAAACGAAGACCACTTCATCATTATTTATAATATTATCTTTTAAATTTGACTTGTATTAACACACAGGGCCACAAGCAGGCTGTCAGCTTTCCTGGATAAAACGGTTTAGGATAGCATACCCCAATTTTTTTTAATAATTCATAAGGTAAACACTGACAATGGAAAATCACTGCTGCGACCGCATCTTTATATGACCAAGAGATTTGTCCTGATTTGCATGAATTTGTAGAACTTTAACTTCAATTTTCTCTTAAAAATGATATTTTATCTTGATTTTTTTTTGCAAAACATGCTTTATCTTATGTTATAAAACTCATTAATATTCATAAGGCAAAATACAATAGAAATCATAGCCCATGAAGAGAGTTGTATATTACATACAGATCGCCCGCTCATATTGTATTATATTACTTGGAAATTGATAAGCAATAAATATTCGCGTCTAACCTTTATGGGCTATAAAACTGCTCGTTCATATTTTATATGAGATTTTATATGATATTTTTTTTTTTTTTTAAACTTGCCTTTAGGACTTTTCCTACAGGGATATTTTGTTTATCTTCTACAAATATAACATCTTTGAGCTCCCATTCCTCAACAGACCTGTCGGATGTCTCTGACATGGACTCTTTTTTACGCTCTGTAAGAAACATTGAAGCAATCATCATAACATGAACAATCGTCAGGAAAAATGCCAACATTAACAGACAATATTGTCAACTTTAATTAAGACTAAACAAAAGTCCTTCAAATACTAGATTTACTTTTAATTATCAACCACTGATGAAAATGCTCCCATTTTGTATTTCAGCATAAGAAGATATTTTGTGTTTTCCATTCTATTCTATTCATTATAATCTTATCTTCTGACAAGAAGATTGTTGACAAAAACAAAAATAATTTTGACTTTAAAAGAGAGAATGACAACACTGATAATATCTTCTRAATAWTTTAYAAAATAGCAACAACTCTTTGCTTGAAAGACGTTTTTTTTATACATGTACGATTTTAATTGCGCGATAGCAAAGCGTAAACAGGCCTTTAGTTAGATAACCTTACGTATCATGATGACAGCGACCCTATTGTAACTTACTCAGTCCTAGAGCGGTKGGCATATCATTTTCAGGGGGAGTTCTCTCAGGTTTGGTAGTTGCACCCCCTGACTGTGGTGAAACCCTAAAACGACACTTTTCCTCGAGATTCCAAGCAGATTCCAGAAGATGTCCCACTCTTGGTACACCAGATGAAATATTGAATCCAACAGAACCATGATAGTATAAAGGACAACTACGCATGCACACCTAAGAACAATGTAAAAAAAAAACACAGAACATAGATCAATACTTTAGGAGGACAAAGCATCCACCATCTTGAAAACTGGGACTCGAATTATTGAATTATAACTCCTAAAGGAATTAGATTCTAAGCTAATGTCAAGTTAATATACTACGATATAATGATAAAAATATGATTATGACTTGAATTAAAGTCGAAATACTGTATTTCGTAACTCTACGACTCTTCGTTCTTAATCCAAACCTTGGGTTTCTGCAATGTTTTCGTTCCTCGGACTTTCACAATGATAGATTAGTTGACTTAGCAACTACGAAATGTGTTCTAAGGCACATCATAGTGATTCAGTTCTCACTTTTCAAGATGGCGGACACATTTTAGTGTTGTAGTTGTGCCTTAACTCAAACTATTCGACARTCTTATCAAAAAATACATGTAGTCAAAAATAATCAAAATAAATTGAAATCGAATTGAATTCCGGCATGTACTGGTCCAGTCAAAGGCCATCAGACCAAAATTCTATTGACAGTGACATTTTGTAGACATCAACTGCTACTAATCAAAACCATTTTAACTATGTCAAAACTAATGCCTAAACTAGTCCCAAACTTCAACTGAGCTCCTGGAGTATTAATTCTTGTTTTACCTGAGCCCCTGGTACATTATGTCTTGGCCTCTTAACCGATCACCTAAATGTACACGTATTGTTTTACTTGAGGCACTGGTACAAAATTTCTAGGTCTCCTACCTGAGCTCCTGGCACAATGCCACTGGTAAAAGTTGTCCGGTTTCTTCGTGCTCTGGCCCTTGCTTTCTCCAGTAATTTCTTCCTTTGTTGAAATGGTAGCACACCCCTTAAAGAACCAAAATATATTACTCAAGCACCACAATCAATGTAATTGTAATTGTGTAGACTGTCGCATTTGAAGGCTTTCAGTACAATAACTATTTTTTTAAGATCTTGCCTATACTCTCACAATATTACATTCTCAATCTGAGTTCAGTTACTGCAGGTAATATTTTTATCAGTCCCTTGACCCAACTCACCACCCATAATATCATAGGAGCAAACAGTATTCAACGCAGCCATGCTTTTATATTACCCTGTTTCCAGACGCTTCTGTTTTATTCTTTTCCTTACCATGTTGACGGGTTGCGAAGTGGCGAGACGTTTCCGTTAATCGACTTGTCAAAACCCGATTAATGGAGATGTTTCGTGCTGCTTCGCGGCTTGACGACATTGTACTTTGTAAGCAAAAAAATAACAGACAAGCCTCTGGAACCATGGTATTTTAATCTTAAAAGATGCTTTTAATCTTAAAATATTTTTTTCTGGAAAATGAGGCGACTTCGGATATCCATTTGCAATCGTTTCAATACGTCAGTTTTATTAAAGGTCGAATCTTACAATATTTCTATTCATTGGGCATAAAGGGATAATGAAGATTAGGTTTTTGCTTATATATATCATTATTTTTAAATGTAAACAAAAGCTAGTAAGGGATACTGGTTGACCATAGCCAAACAAAAGACAGCTTACCACCACATTAGTGCACCAGATGCTGATTGAGCACATGTATACAAAGCACAAGTGTGAACTGCAATGATTTTATCAGATATAACATCTGAAAAACTCTGTGCTGAATGCTCTAATTTACTAGCTACTGATGATAATGGTTCATCAATCCAACAAGCAACCTGTAAATACAGACACAAAAAATATTTTAGAATGAATAACAAACACTTCTTTTATGATATCTGGGGCTACCCAGGACATAAGAAAAGAGCACATAATGCTTTACTGTCTATGCAAAACTGATTTATTGCACTGCATTAAGAAAAGCTAATAAAAAATATCTCTTTTATAAAATGTACCAACTGCAACATGCATCTGTTATCCTTAACGAGTTTGTGAGGTTTCTTGTGATTGGAAGAATAAAACAATTCTCATTGTTTCCTCGTTCTTAAATCCTATTGTTTTCTTTTATTTCACAAAAAACGAGTAAACTAATCAAATAAGATCTTGCAAATCTTGCACTCCCACAATGCATGCTACAGTACTGTAGTTAACAAATCAGAAAAAAAAACAATCAATACCCAATTCATTRAATAAATCTTTTACAAGCCATAAAAATGCTTGCCARTCTTTCTGAATACAAAAACTTCTAAATTAAAAGAAAATAATAGTATAATAAAGTTTTTGTCCTTTCAAAATTAGATATGACCTTCCAAAAATGAATTTGGAAGGACATCTTGTCCTGCATATGTCTGGCCATTATTTTGAGCCTTGTCTAATGTCAAAACCTCAAAGCAAGCAAGACATGTAGATTGTACATCTAATTCAAGGGGTACTCCAGTTTTTTTCCTTTTCTTAAGATCTCTCTAAGTGCCCTTGATAATATGTTTGCTTGGACCTATCATATCAACCATCAATTCCTACCTTTCCTGTTTCTGTTAAAACAGAGGCTCTGATAGATGACGCTGATATACAGACTATTTTTTCCTCTGCTAAACCCAAAGATCTTGCCCTGGGATGATATACTGGGGAGCCATGGGCACTTGCGTCACCAGCATAGGGTAAGGAGTCACTCCACCTCCACTGGTATAGTCGACCATCGACACCCAGTGCTATCAGCTCTGAATACATTGACACAATGTGGAGGAAAGTTGGACTTTGGCCATCCTAAAAAAATGATAAGCTATAAGCATCTAGACATTTTCCGTTTTTGCTCAAATAACCACTGAATAGTGGTCGTATGATGACGTAGTTTGTTTACACCCAAAATTTAAAATTCAAAAATAAGCAATCTGAACTCATGTAATTCAAGATTATATTAATGTCAACAAAACCTGAAAATTTTAGGGCAAACGCCTTTTTACATTTCGAGATATCGGCATTTCAAAACTACAAAATCTATAGAAAACATTCAGTGGTTGGCAAAATAATGCCAACCGCGGTCATTTCTTTAGAAAATCTTGCAAATTTGGTGCTTGATATCTCTTGAAATATTTAACCAATTGCCTTCAAATTTGCAGGGATTGTTAACAGGTATGAGTTCTTTTCATTTATGGGCTTTATTTTCTTGTGTCTTGAAATTTGATTTCTTACTTTTATGCAAATTAGCTAAAACGTAAACATCGGCGCACCTATATCAAAACAACATGTCACACACAAAATATGCTTTTCTTGAAAATTTGAGTCATGTACTAGATAAAGTAGTTTTTGTGATATACCGTATTTACTTGAATAGACACCCCCCGAATAGATTGTTTTTCAATAAATGTGTCTATTCGAGTAAATAAAGTACAGCTTTTAGATAGAATACACTGTAGACTAATTAGAATCTTGAGGGTTCAATGCCTGACCAATATACTTGTAAAATATATATTTGCCAATGTGGTTTGAATTCAATGGGGGCAAACACTACTAAAAAATATACTATTGCGGGCATTAAGCGCATCAAACAAGTCTCTCCATGAGACATTTTCCTTGAATAATATTCATGTTTTCAAACCCATCAATGTAGAGCTTCAAAGCTAAATCCATTACAAGACTGATAATTTTTAATAACCGAAAGTGAATACAAATAATATATGGCAATCCTGATTCAATTCTTTGCAGTCTCAAGACTGTGGACTATGTCATGGTGACAACGTTTTTTGAAATAGGTGTTTAAAAACTTGCTTACCATTACTGGCCACCACTGAAGTTGATCAGCTACAGTTACAGGATCACCAGTACCATTCCTACTAGGTGCAGCTAACTTATCTTGACCAGAGCTATTGTTAGTTCTTCCAGAACCACTAGATTCACCGCTGCATAAATGAACATTTCCCCACCATCTATCAAACTGCTCACGGCTCAAAGATTCTCGTTCTCTTGGCCTGTCAGATTCACGATCACTAGTAGAGTCTCTCTCTGGTGCTGTTGTTGATCGGCTTCCACGGCTGCCACCACTGGCTGTGCGACGGTGAAGTGTGCTATACTGATTACTGTAAAACATGTCGTCATGGAAGATGGCTTCTTGGTCTACAATTAGTGAGGGGTCTTCTACATGGACACCAGCATCAAGTAAAGACATCAGATCATCTGGGAAATAGTTTAGTGATTATTATTAGTATAGGAAATTGCGCAGCGTTGAGTACAATTTGGAATTAATAGTAATGTTTTGAAAGTTATTTGTAATTGCACGAGCTCGATAGAGTGATTATAGGATGGAATAATAGTATAGAGGAAAATTGCAGACTCCCTTGCGATCAAATCTGCTGACCAGATGATTTGCAGTCTTAGTTTGCTGTTCACTTGTGTTTTTGGGCTTTTGGGCTGCATTTTACCAAAATACATTGAATTTGCCTTTTTGAAATTGGAACAAAGAAGACTGCGAAAGAGTATGAAAATACATGTAGACCACTTATCCTAGAAAGTTGAACCTTGCCACATGAAAGAGCATATTTTACAATAGTCTCCTTCACAGTTACCTGCATCATCTTGAAAGGTAGCCGTGCCTTTGCATCGAGGTGAGATGCCTGTGGAGTGTGCAATGATAGAAACCTTCTTTAACACGTCCTACAGACAATAGTCCATTTGCATTATGACGTAACTTTACTACAACTACCAGAGAGCCTTGCACATTTTCATTGTTATTCAGATTTTTAATCCCCTTGGAGATTAATAAAACAATTGGCACTAATTGCATTACAAAAGAAAGTTGGCAAAGCATTCTGGTAGTTGTAGTAAATGACGCCATAATGCATATCGCCTATT